GATTTGAAGATGTAGAAACTATTTTTGTTTCATTAAACGCCATGATATAGGTGTACCTCCATATGTAAACTAATAGCCTGTTTAAGACCGTGCTTTATGTGGATCAGATAAATAACCTGCATCGGCATAGCCAATCATTTCTGGCTTGAATTCATTAGAATAAAACAATCACATATCTAGAGTTCCCTGAAGATATCTAAATATATGCTTAACACCATTCCAATATCTTCTTGTTAGGGAAGTGCTGAATCTTGCTAATAAGCTTACTGCAAAAGCAATATCTGGCTGGGTATTATTGGAAAGATACACCAGTGCCCCAATTGTACTAAGGTATGGAGTTTCATCACCAACGAGCTCTTCATCTGTCACGCCCCGACCTCGAGCGCAACCGGCGCTCAACCGAGATAACTCGTTCGAGCAAGCCTGGTAGATTTCCTTCTACCCAACTCACCCATAAACAAAGAGAATATAAACTTCATTTATTAACACTAAGAGGGTTCATGAACAATACTAATTCCATCACCATTAGTCACTTCATTTATAAAGACTCAAAATACACACACTTTCATAATTTGAAGTGGAAGATGTAACACACATACAACATTACTATTTTGACTTTCCCAATACCAATACACAACGCAAACCATGCCTACGGAGCCTCTAATAGATATAAAAGAGTACAATAATAGTGCTGGCAACAAGACTTTGGCTATACCTCAAAACATAATCCACACGGAACAAAATATGCACAACCCCGGAATGAAGTGGGGCTCACCAAGTCAGCTGGAAAAGGAGTGTACCGCTATCACTAGTCAATGCCTCCCGCTGTGGAACCACCTGCCATTAAATATGCATCACCCCCGGCAAAAGGGACATTAGTACATGTTGAATAGTACTAGTATGAAAACCAAAACATCTATTCAAGGACATGGAAATACAACATGAATATGATGAATCATGGTAACAATCATAGGGCTTAGATAGCCATAAAAGTCAAACAGATTTACTAAGAACTTCCAATAACACTTATAAATTTCAAGTCGGGAATCCTCTACAACTACATTTACATATAGTGGCCTTGCCGCCTTACCTCAATGTATGCGGGTGGAGGTGCAATTACAATACCAGAAACTCGACACAAAGTGGCCCCGCTGCCTCACCCCAATGTATGCGGGTGGAGGTGCAATCACAATACCAAAAACTCTACACAAAGCGGCCACGCCGCTTCACCCCAATTTATGCGGGTGGAGGTGTATTCACAATACCACAACTATACACAAAGTAGCCACGCCACCTCACCCCAACGTATGCGGGTGAAGGTATAATCACAATGCCACATCCCGAGTTCCCAAAATGAAAATAATATGTACGAAAGAGTTCCCTTCTAATTAACTATTTGGCACCTTTGGCCTTAGCAAGTGTAAATTCATAAAGTTTCATCATATGAGAAATAAGTATTTAATCACATTGATTTCATACAAGATCTTCTTCCCAAATGGGGTATAACATGATTAAGTCAAAAATAGAGAATCATTAACACACGAGGGTTCTAACACGTTATGCCAATCGGGAATCAATTCTACTAGTTTGAATACTTCATATTAATCTGTATAAGGATTTATAAAGCTTTATTGAACAAGTTCCCCTTGAACTTTTATGTGCTTCAGGAACTTTAAATCCTTTAGGGATTTTCATAAATATTTAATTGTCCAATGAGCCATATAAGTATGTTGTGACAACATCCATTAACCGCATATCAAGCTTTTCATGGACTGCTAGATTTATTAGATACCTGAAGGTAATTGCATCTACCATGGGAGAATATGTCTCCATATAATCAATATCAGGACTTTGTGAAAACCCTTGTGCCACAAGTCGTGCTTTATATCTTACGAATTCTCCCTTCTCATTTCATTTTCGCACAAAAATCCATTTGTACCACACTTTCTTGACACCTTCAGGCATTCGGACTACTGGTCTGAAAAATTCACATTTTTCGAGTGAAGCCAATTTTGCTTGAATTGTGTTTTTCCATTTTGGCCAATCATTTATCTGTCCAAATTTCATGACATATTTGAGCTCAAGATCCTCATAAATATTAACAATATTGAGTGCTACATTATATTAACAACATTGCCGATGATCATTTTGCATTGGTTCCATCATCACTCAATAAAGACATAACTTATTGAGATCTCATTATTTTTAGGTACCTGAGCCTCTCCCATGAGGTCTTATGAAGTGTTATGTCTTGGTGCTATTCTAAAGCACTTGCCTATTTATTATGACCATATTGAACATTTGCTCCTCTCCTTCTTCAAGGATCTTTATCGTTGGAACTGATTTGTCTGTTATGCTTCTTACGTTCCATAGACTTTGTCCCTCATGGACTTTATTCTATCTGGAGCATTAGCCACAGAAATATGACATTTAGCTTTGGGTCAGCAAATGCATATGGCGTCATATTTAATAGTTGTGGATGCATTGTGAGCTTCTCGCTCAGCGCATCTTCTCTCTCTTCTCTCTCAGCGCATGATAGCGTGTTTGTGCTAACGTACGCTGACCAATAATGGGGAAGGTTAGGCCGAAGAGAAATGCAACTATGATTCAGCTTGTGGATTATACGGGAACTAGTAATAACACTCAGATCACTAGAATGCAGAATGCGGAGATCGCAGATGCGAAGAAAACTTCAATGGAACAGTGGCCACTATTATCTGCCATGAAGGAAGGTATGAAAACACCCTTTTGCTATGAGTCCTTTATCGATGATTGATAGTGCGAAGATAACTACTGGTAATCAGTTGAAGGACACCAACCCTAGCACAGGGAAAACTGATAAGCATGCGAGCAATTCAAAAGCAACTAGTGGCAATTTGGGGGAAATTGGGGACAAGAAAGAGGACGATAAAAGCAAGGACAAATTGTCAGCTGAGAATACAGAGCATGACCAGAAGAAGTGGGAAAATCTGTTTATGGGGAACAGATTACAACAAAATGAATGGAAATTTCATTGCACCAACCATAAAAAATAGTGAAGTCATTGTTGAATTATGCAAGGAAGAAGAGGAAGAGGAGACACGGAAATGGAAGCAAGCCTTGATCCTCTATGTCGTTGGAGGAGCCCCAACCATAGGAGCTATGGAATATTTTATTGCTTCAGCGTGGAATTTTGCAACAAAGACAAAAATATACTTCCACAATGATGGGTATTTTGTGGTAAGATTTAACTCTACAGATGACAGAGATGAAGTTTTGTACTCTTGACCTCATATGCTGAATAATAAGCCGATTATCATGAAGGTATGGTCAGCTGATTTTGATTTTTATAAGGAGGTATTGCAAACCATTCCTGTGTGGGTAAAGTACCCTAATCTACCACTCAATAGTTGGGGAGCAAAGTCACTAAGTAGGATAAGCAGTGGATTAGGGATTCCCTTATATGCAGATGTTTGTACCACTTAGTTGGATCGAATTTCCTATGCTAGAGTGCTAATTGTGATGGATGTTACTAAAGAACTGCCCAGAGCCATTAAGGTGACAGATCCTAATGGGAGAGAATTCATGCAAGAAGTAGCTTATGACTGGATCCCTGAGTTTTGTCATACATGTATGCAAGTTAGACACAAGCTCAACAAAGGAGAGCAGCCACCTCAGAAGCCTAAGCCTAAGCAGCAAAAGCAGAAACAAGAGTGGCAGCTCAAAGCTAGTCTAAGTAATAAGGTGGAGCAGACACATGCAGTACCTGCCAAGAATAGTGAAGTAACAATGGTTGCTGGTACAGATAGCAACCTTGCTAACTCACCTACAAGTCTATCTAGAGGGGAGGAGGAACATACTTGGAAAAAAGCCACATGAAAATCAATAGCTCGGAAGAAAGAGAAAACAGGAGCTGATGCAATCAGAATGATCAATGGGTTCTACATATTACTAGAATCCGGATTGTAGCTAACAGTTCCAAGGCAAATGGGTGAGGGTGCAAGTAGACAGAGTAGTCAAACAGGAGAGGAAGTGTATTCGCAATCCCTATTTATTCCTGTATAAAGCTGGTTACATGGAATATTAGGGAATTGAATAAGATCCCTAGACAGAAAGAGGTTAAGAGGTTTATAAGAAGCAATAAAATAAGTGTGATAACATTACTTAAACACAAAATAAAGGAGCAGAAGGCTATACAAATAATAAGGAAAATCACTCTAGGGTGAGATTGGTTGGCCAACTATAAACATAGTAGTAGATGAAGGATTTGGTTGTTATGGGATACTAATGAGATAGAATGCTTGGAATTGGGAAAGTCTTCTCAATATATTCATACTTCAATTCACATTAAAAGTATGACTATGGGATTCAATTTTACTGCAGTTTATGGCCTGCATACATTGGAAAATAGGAGATGTTTATGGAGAGACTTAGATGGTATAAATATTGTGCAACAGGGCCTATGGCTAATCATGGGAGACTACAATACCATCAGGCCAGGGGAGGATAGGCCAATTGGGAACCCTGTACAAGAACTGGAGATTAGAAATTTCAACAGTTTCATTGATGATACTGCTTTGGTAGAAATGAGGACCAGTGGGAGGAATTTCACATGGACAAATGGGCACACATGCAGCAAAATAGACAGAGCTTTGGTGAATGTTGAGTGGATGTTGCAAATGACATGCCTGGAAGTATGGGTAATGGATCCAAGATGTTTTGATCACTCACCTCTGAATATTACATTCGAAGATAATGAAGATAATGTTCCCAAACCTTTCAAGTTTCTAAATCATCTAGCAAAACACAAAGACTTCCTATCCATAGTTAGTGGAGCATGGCAAGGGAGTAATGAAGACAGTACTATGAAAGATGTATGGAAAAGATTGAAAAAAGTGAAACAAGGTATGAAAGATCTTAAAAATGCAGAGTACAGTGCAGTAGGAGACAAGATTAAACAATGTAGGAAACAACTGTGTGAACTGTAGGAACAAAAGAGGAATCCTAGGCAACCTAAGAATATGGTTATAGTAGAAAAGGACACAAAAATGCAATTGGAGAAATGGCTGAGGGTGGAAGAAAGTATCATGAAACAAAAGTCTAGAGTACAGTGGCTGAATTTAGGAGATGCTAACACAACCTATTTCTTTGCAAGTATGAAAATTAGATATTCCCAAAACAAGATCAAGAGCTTAATAAGGAACAATGGGGAAGTGGTACAAACAAAACAAGAGATTGAAGAGGAAGTGCTTGGGTTCTATAAGCAACTATTGGGATCAGTAACTGAAAGATTGACTGCTATTAATCCAGTAGTTATGATGGATGGTCTATTGGTGAATAGAAAACAACAACTACAATTGGTAAGATCGGTATCTAAAAAAGAAATATACCAGGTCTGCTTGGTATTAGTGATAGCAAAGCACCTGGCTGTGATGGATTCAATGCACTATTCTTCAAAATGGCATGGCCTATGGTTGGGGACAAGATAACAGATGCAGTGATGGAATTCTTCTCAAGAGATAACATGTACCAGCCTATCAATTGCACAACAGTTACCCTAGTGCCTAAGGTAACAAATCCATCCAGAATTACTAAATTCAGACCAATATCTTGCTGCACTCTCATATACAAAATCACCTTGAAGGTGATAACAAACATATTGCAGGGCGTAATGGATGATATAGTAGATAGAAGTCAGTCTTCATTTGTGCCGAGAAGATTGATAAATGACAATATAATAATGAGTCATGAGCTCGTTAAAGGATATGGTAGGAAAGGCTTATCACCAAGATACGTGTTGAAAGTAGATATGAAGAAGGCCTACGACTCTATTGAATGGGATTATATGGAGCAAGTCCTAAAGAGTCTACAATTACCAGGAAAATTTGTTCACTGGATTATAAGGTGTATGAATAGAGTCTCTTATTCTTTCATCATCAATGGGCAACATTCAACCCCATTTCCTGCTAAAAAGTGTCTCTTTACCTATTTGTATTGGCCATGGAATACTTAACCAGACTGTTGAAGATAATACAACTTAGTTTTGTTGATGATTTGTTACTGTTCTGTAGAGGTGATACTATATTTGTGCAGCTATTATATCAATCCTTTCAAGAGTTCTCACAAGCTTATGGATTAGTTGCCAATGCTGAAATAACTACATCTATTTTGGATGAGTCAGGGAGGAAATACAACAGGAAATACTGCAAATGCTAGGTTTCTCTAAAGGGACTCTTCCAGTGAGATACCTAGGGGTACCTTTGAGTACTAAAAGGCTATCACTGGTGCAATGTCAGCCCCTTATTGAGAAAATGCTAGGGAGAATACAATCTTGGACTACTTGGTTTCTTTCCTATGCAAGAAGAATCCAACTTATTAAGATTGTATTATTCTCCATTCAAGTGTTTTGGTCTCGGATATTCATACCGCCCAAGAAACTGATTCAATTGATTGAAATCATGTGTAGAAGGTTTCTATGGACAGGAGGTGTGGAGGTCACAAAGAAAGCACTCCTAGCTTGGGACAGATTGTGTTGGCCAATAACAACAGGTGGGTTAAACCTATAAGATATAGGCACATTGTCACGACCCAATTTTCCCTCCGTTGGGTATCGTGATAGCACCTAGTCTTAGGGACTAGGTAAGCCTAACATTTACTGAATAACAACAATAATTAAATAACATCTAATAATTTTTGAAATGGAAATCCCTATAAAATTTATAATTCTCAAAACTAGTAGTACAAGTCATAAGCTATTCAGCGTTTGCTACAATTTATTAAATATAACTGATTGGAAATAGGTAAAACAGTGTGAATACAAAATAGAAAGGTGAGACTGAAGCATGCGAACGCAGCAGCAGGTTTACCTTGAGTCTGCACAGCAACAATCCGCATACCTAGCTAATGATCAACTGACTTCAAAATACCTGGATCTGCAAAAAAATATGCAGAAGTATAGTATGAGTAAACCACGACGGTACCCAGCAAGTATCAAGACTAACCTCAGTGGAGTATTGACGAGGAACCAATCAAGACACCTACTGGACTAAATAACTTGAACAAGTATAAGTATAGAAATAACAGAGTTTGATATCTACATAAAGACAACGTGAAGTGGCAATTAGTACGGTAAATTTCAGTAAGAAAGGGATACAACAACTATCAGCGGAACACCATAATAATGACATAAAAGAATGAATGGAAACACAACCTAAATCTGATGAACACAATTAAAAGAAGGGCAGGTAGCAACTAGATGAAAATAACTACTTTCACACCACGTTTTAGTCAAATAAACTCCACGAGGTACCGAACCTCATACTATTCATAACTCACGGGTCCCAATACCTGAACCCTAACACTGAGCATCCTGTGTCCTCATTACACTTTATAACCGCACTGACGACTCACGTGCCAAATAGATCCATTCTCACATAGAAGGCAAATACCAAGGGTGTGCATCTATACTCAGCAATATCAAGAAAACCTCTTAACCGATAAGAGTGCTCAACTACGTGTATGCTTGTGCAAGTGTCCTAACATGGTTCATACCAGCTAGTAAGTATAGGAAATGAAATGGACAGCACGTAGAATATTTTGTCACAACTTTCCACAAGATAAAACTCACATAGGTAAGTGTACCACTACACAAAAATCAACAACAAGAATGCCCTCAGGCCATCACAAGTCATCACAAATCAATCCCTGACATAGCCCACCTTGCCTCGCCACGTGTGCAATAATATAGTAAGTACCCACCTTGTCTTGCCACATGTGCATAACAATATTCCCACCNACGACCCAAAATTTCTACCTTCAGGATCGTGATGGCACCTAACATTTCACTTGCTAGGCAAGCCAACGTTAAAATAATCTTAACTATTTTCAAGAAAATTTAATTAAATAGAAGTCAATTACTGAAATAAAGTGCGGAACACCATAAATACCGAATTGTCAAAATACATCCCCGAATCTGGTGTCACAAGTGCACGAGCTACTAGAATAATAAAAATAAAGGTCTGAATAAAATTCAAGTTGTTTGAAAGATAATACACATCTGAGATAAGATAGAAGGGGACTTCAGAACTGCAAACATTGTGCAGTTATACCTCAAGTCTCCTCTGAGTAGCTGAATCTGAGCACGTGTAAGGTACTCTACTGGGACAAACTCCAAAATCTGTACAAGAAGTGCAGAGTGTAGTATGAGTCGACCTCATGTACTCCGTAAGTGTCGAGCCTAACCTCGACGAAGTAGTGACGAGTCTATGATAGGACACGTACGTAAACAACATGTACAAGTATATACAAATACAAAGCAACAATAAAACAATAAATAACACTTTATAAATTTAGGAGGGAACATGCGAAGGGGATTGATATAATAATTTTAGCTGGAGAATTATCACTTAGTATCCAAATAATTCCTCAACAATAAAATGAGCAACTGATGATATGAAAATGGTACGGCACCACCCTTCGTGCTTTTACTCGCATTCCTCCCATAAACTGATAAATAAATAATAATTTTAATAATAATAATAATAATTGGCACGGCATCACCCTTCGTGCTTTAACTCAATTTTGGCATGGCATCACCCTTCGTGCTTTTACACTCTCTGAAAATGACACGGGATCACCCTTCGTGCTTTTACACTCACAAATGGCACGGCAACACCGTTTGTGCTTTTTCACTCTTCCTTACCATGAAAATAATAATAAATTCGGAAGACTATATAAATGCGGGGATATATACTTATCATTCAATTCAATACCAGAATATCGACTTCACCTTCCATAATATTCAACAATAATTAAACTAACACCGTTTGTGCTTTTTCACTCTTCCTTACCATGAAAATAATAATAAATTCGGAAGACTATATAAATGCGGGGATATATACTTATCATTCAATTCAATACCAGAATATCGACTTCACCTTCCATAATATTCAACAATAATTAAACTAACAATCCATAATATTCAATTCAATACCAGAATATCGACTTCACCTTCCATAATATTCAACAATAATTAAACTAACACCGTTTGTGCTTTTTCACTCTTCCTTACCATGAAAATAATAATAAATTCGGAAGACTATATAAATGCGGGGATATATACTTATCATTCAATTCAATACCAGAATATCGACTTCACCTTCCATAATATTCAACAATAATTAAACTAACAATAATCCCATAGAAAATAATAAAATAAACAATAATAATTTAAGCAGGAATATCTTAATTAAGTATGCAATTATTCACAATAAACAGATTCCACCTGCATGCTTTGACTCAACCACAACGCATAAGTACTTGTCACCTCATTACACCTTTCATAGGTGAAACCCGAAGCAATAATCTTTCTCTAACCATGAATGCAATATCACGAACCTTACGGTCGGAATAACTCTTTTTTCTAGACTGAACTGTGCGAAGTCGATCCTGAATAATTTTGACCTTATCCAAGGCATCTTGTACCAAATCGGTACCCAACAACTGAGCCTCTCCCGGTTCAAACTAGCCAACTGGCGAACGACATCGCCTCCCGTACAATGCTTCATACAAAGCCATCTGAATGCTCGATTGGTAGCTATTATTATAGGCAAACTCCGCAAGTGGCAAGAATGGATCCCAAGAACCTCCAAAGTCTATAACACAAGCGCGAAGCATATCTTACAATATCTAAATAGTGCGTTCTGACTGTCCGTCTAACTGTGGATGAAATGTTGTACTCAACTCAACCTGCATGCCTAACTCACGCTGTACAACCCTATAGAAGTGCGAGGTGAACTGCGTACCTCGATCAGAAATGATAGATACGGGAACAGCATGAAGGCGGACAATCTCAAGAATGTAAATTTTAGCTAATCGCTCTGAAGAATAGGTAACTACCACTGGAATGAAACGTGCTGACTTGGTCAACCTTTCCACAATGACCCAAACTGCATCGAAATTTCTCTGAGTTCGTGGAAGTCCAACAACAAAATCCATAGTGATACACTCCCACTTCCACTCAGGAATTTCTAACTTCTAAAGCAAACCACCAGGTCTTTGATGCTCGTACTTAACTTGCTGATAATTCAGACACCGAGCTACATATGTAACTATATCCTTCTTCATTCTCCTCCACTGATAATGTTGCCGCAAATCTTGATATATTTTGGCGGCACGTGGATGAATAGAATACCTGGAACTGTAGGCATCTTCTAGAATTAATTCACAAAGAACATCCACATTAGGCACACAAATACGACCTTGCATTCACAGAACTCCATATTCCCCCACAGCAACTTGTTTGGCATCACCATGCCATACCGTGTCTTTAAGGACAAGTAAATGAGGATCAACATACTGTCGTTCTCTGATGCGCTCATATAAAGAAGACCGAGCGACTGTGCGAGCTAGAACCCGACTGGATTTTGAAATATCTAACCTCACGAACTGATTAGCCAAAGTATGAACATCTGCCACTAACGGTCTCTCACCCACCGAAATATACACAAGACTTCCCATACGCATAGCCTTTCTACTCAAAGCATCGGCCACCACATTGGCCTTTTCGGGATGATACAAAATAGTGATATCATAGTCCTTCAATAGCTCTAACCATCTTCTCTGCCTCAAATTGAGATCCTTTTGTTTGAACAGATATTGTAAGCTACGATGATCAGTAAATACCTCACACGAGACACCGTACAGGTAATGCCTCCAAATCTTCAGCGCATGAAAAATGGCTGCCAATTCTAAGTCATGAATAGAATAATTCTTCTCATGAACTTTCAACTGCCGCGATGCATATGAAATCACCCTACCATCTTGTATCAATACTGCACCAATCCCAATGCGAGATGCATCACAATACACCGTATAAGATCCCAAACCTGTGGGTAATACCAACACTGTCGCCGTACTCAAACTAGTCTTGAGCTTCTGAAAGCTCAACTCACACTCGTCTGACAATCCAAATGGAACACCTTTCTAGGTCAGTCTAGTCAATGGGTTTTCTATAAATGAAAATCCTTCCACGAATCAGCGATAATAACCTACCAAACCCAGAAAACTCTAGATCTCTGTAACTGAAGTAGGACTAGGCCAATTCTGAATAGCCTCAATCTTCTTAGGATCTACTTTTATGCGTTCTACCGATACAACATACCCTAAAAAGGCAACTGAGTCTAACCAAAATTCACATTTTGAAAATTTGGCATCTA